ACACAAAAAATTGAAGGCGGACAGATACGGCGTTTGAATGACCTCTTCGGATATAGTAAGAAGTCTTTTCTTAAGTGAATACTGAGAAAATGTGCCATTTTTGCATGAAACCAGTATTCGACCTCGTGGGAACGCGTGTAGCCCACACTAAACATTGAAGGCAAACTGATAGTCACCTCTTCCGGTTTGGTAGAATGCTATTTGTTGAGTGACTAGCGCGAGAGCGCGCCTATTCACGGTGATACCACTATTCGACCACGTGGGCGCGCGCACTGCCTATACTAAAAATTGAAGGCGAACCGATGAGGCGTAAATCCACTCCCGGTTGGTACAAAGCTATTTATCCAGTGAGTTCCGAATAAGCATGCAATTATTATTGTACTACTATTCCATTTCATCCTATTTTTTTTCTCATCTTCTTCTCCAATTTTCTGCTTTTCCTTCATCTTCACTTCATACTCTTCATATTTATTCTCTCTCAATCCTGTTTTTCTCTCTTCTCCGGCTTTTCCTCTTTATCTTCTCTCTCTTTTCCTCCTTTTTTCTCTTTCTTCTTTCTTCTCTAGCTTTTCCCCTTTTTCTTCTTTGATGAAGCGCGTGCCGTCTCTGTAATGCCATTTTCCGGAGAAGCACCACAACTCCATTTAGACGATACCCGCGGTTAGAATATGCTTTTACGCACCTCCAAGCTCACTCCAGAATGGAGTCACTACTCTTTTCTGCATCAAGGCGGTTCTTTTCCATCTCCTATGCTATTATGCAAAAGAATAGTAACTCCATTTAGACGTGAGCCGCGAATAGCACGTGTTCCTATTTGCTTCAAGATTAACACAAGAAAAGAGTTACTGCTCTCTTGCCAGACAGTTCTCTGTCGTATACTGTCTTCATTGAATCATTGATCCTACGGAAGAGAACAGTACCTCCATTTGTAAGTGAGCCGCTGTCATTATGCTCTCTTTTGCGTGGTGGAGCTCACCCGGTAATGGAAATACTGTTGTGTTCCGTAACACCGGCAGCGTATAGCCCAGACCGCTCGTTTTATTCTCTCTCTCTCTCTCCCCCGCTCATTCAGCGCAAGTTTGAGAAAGACAATGAGAGGGAGGGCCTCTACCGTGCGTAACAAGAATCACGTCTTTACCCGGGGTATCTATTGACGTTAAGTGGTTTTGGCCTAGCGTGGCGGAACTTTCGCCTTGCGCATTCTGACTTATTCTAACACATTAGCCCGGACTGACGAAAAGAATCAGCAGGCATTGGCTTGTCAGACACGGTTACAAAGCAGATTAGAAAAGTCCTCCGGCCCCGGGTCCCTTACGCGGTGTTGTCGAGTGGGGTGCTGAATTTCTCACCTAATATTTATCGAATTTTCGATTTAGGGTATGTTTGGGGCCTCCAGGGTGGAACGGTATCTGCGTAAGCGATAAAAGACAACTTGGCTTTAATCGGAGGCCGCTAACGGTGTCAAGAGTGGGAACATCGAGAAGTCGGTGATATAAAATTATAAGGTAAGTAGGGATCCACTTTAACATTTAAAAAACAACATTACTCTCCCTTTTTGGTTTGATATTATTTTTGGAAGCAATTAAATCAAAATCCATATCCAATCCATAACAAGGATTTATTTTCAAATTTTTACCTATGAATACTACTTGAAATATGTGAATATTGTCCTTTCAATTATGCTATGTTAAAAGTTATCTTGGATTTCTCTTAGTCATGAGTTGAATCAAAATCAAGTCTTCCTAAGGAATTAGGGAGTTGAAGGAACGACTAAGTTTATATCCATACCTAAAGTTAAAAAATGTGCATCTTCATTAAAACATTTTAAAAAATTTAAATCTTTTTTTTTTTTTAAAAAAATTACCTGCGAAAATATCTCTTTACAATAGTCTGTGAATAATTTCTAGAGAATGAAAAAAATTCATAGAACATTGCAAGAAAAACTAACTGCAAGTTTGCTTCAAGAACGCAAAAAACTGAGCAACGACTCGCAAAGTCGCAGCTCGAAATTCGCATTTTTTTTTTACTTTAGCCATCGATGAGGCCTTCAATGCTAAATGATGCAACCATGTATTTACCCGTATTACGAGGCAACTGCGCCCTTACCTTGTAGCAGGAGCAGACGGCCCAAATTCAATAAGACCATCGCGCGCTGGAAAAGGTGAGTTTTGACGTACCTGTAACAAAGGAAGAAAGCAGGTGCATTAAATCACAAGGCAATTGAAGATGCGACGTGACACATCACAGGCAGGGGACGCGACAACACCATGTCTTCGGGATTCCGTTGACGGATTTGAATGGGAAGACGGAAAGATGCAGGGTTTTCCGAAAAACAGAGAGACGTCTTTTTTTTTTAGATATAAATCAATGGCTAACGCCAATGCCAAAGTGCGAAACGACATATCGACGGTGAAAGTCGGCAATCACATAACTCGGTTTGCGACGTCGCAGACTTCCTGTCATACTTTATTTTTTAAACGGAAAACTACTCAACGGCAATTATTTAAAACTGCCGTGATTTTTCTTCTATGTGCGAGGAAAATTCTGCAAAAACTTCAAGGAATCATGTCCATTTGTTCTCCTTTAAAAAAATAACATAGTTGCGGAGATTTTCAGACACCGCAAACGAGTTATGTGATTGCCGACTTGCACCGTCGATATCTCCATGTGCGACATCTCTTAATGCCTGTCAAACTTCTTTGGATAACTAGTCAACGTAATTTCTCGATAACTATATTGACTATTCCCTTCTGTCCTCAGAATCTTCTGTAGAAATTTCGAGCTAAAAAGTTGGTTTGTTTGTCTTCGCAAAAGTAAAATAGGGGGATTTGACCCAAAAGACGGAGTCAAGTTGACTCGATCTTATCTTCGATACCTGGGAACAAAATATTACTACCCTTATCAGTGTGTTGAAAATATCGGAGTAAAATCCTGAGTTGACTTTCTGGAAGTTGTAAATTTCACCTCTGTTATCGGTGCTTTCTAGGGGAAAGACTCCTTGCGAAGGAATGGGGTGAAAGAAGCTCGATTTAGTGCGTTGGACATTTCGAAACGGCTACTAAGATCTATTTTCATGTGCAATTAAAGCTATTTCATAGTCATAATCTTCTCCCACACGGAGAAAAAAACTTCGTGATTGAAACCCGAAGTATAGGACATATGGATCTCAGAAGTTTTCGGATCACGTATCTAAAAACTTGAGGTCCAGCTGCCGAAGTTCGGATCAGACATCTGAAGTACTTCGACATATACCGAAGGGTTCGGGTCACACATCTGAAGTACTCCGGTACATACCGAAGTGCCTCGATGTCTGACCCGAACTTCGGCAGCTCGACCTCAAGTTTTCGGATGCGTGATCAGAAAACTTCAGAGATTCATATGACCTCAACCTCGGGTCCCATGCACGAAGTTTTTTTCTCCGTGCATGACTCGTAGGCGGATCCATTAATTTCGAAATGAGGGGGGCGTTAGGGGGGTCCGCGGGGCCCCTCCAAAATTTTCCATGAATAATTACCGAATATGCAGCATCCTTATATCCTCTTCTTTCATCCGTTCCTTTCCTCCTTTCTTTCTTCCCCCTTTCTTCCTCCTTATTTTCGGTCGAACGGGGGGGGGGGGGCGTATCCGTCCCCTGGATCCGCCTACGCCGTGACTCACTAAATTCCACGAAACCACGTTCATTTCAGCGCATTTCAGCGCGGCGTGATTTCAAGCAGCCCTCGGAAACGCGTCACTGAAAGTGTTTTCGACACGCCGATGAGGAAGCTGCGAGCGGCGAGCGCGTGTTGGCGATTGACGCAGACGCAGATGCGACCGCGGGCTGCGTGGTGGACGCGCGAGGAGCGAGCGACGAGCGTTCGCCTCCCATTCGCTGTCATCATAAATCCCGCCGTCTTATCCGCCCATCGCGCCTCGAAGATTGTCAGCCCCTGAATCATCGAGAGTCCGCCTACCGGACGGACCAATCATCGGCCAATTTTTATTTCATTGAAAGCGTGCGTGCGGTTATGGGTCGTTCTCGCATTCCGGGCTTTCGAAGGGGGTCAAAAGGCCGCCTTCCGAGTTCACCCGGGAAAATGCGTCAGCTAGAATCCCTTTATACTGAGAGTCAAGACAATGTGAATCCATTTCTGATTGGTTCCAGTATTTTAGGTCTTAGCAGTGTCACAAACGGGAGTAAAGATTACATTTTCACCGATTGCAAAGATTATAACCTGGATGGACCAGGGAATTACAGGTTTGGCACAGAACAAACGGAATGAGAGAAGGAACGGAGAAAGGAATTTAAGAATGGGCCTATCAAAGATTATAAAAAACGTTCAATTTCTGTAATCTTTATTCCCGTTTGTGACTCCACGAGGGGGTGTTGTCTTGACTCTCAGTATAAAGGGACTCTAGCGTCAGCCTGAGAGGGGAGCTTACAGTATTCGTCAGTAGTTGACGACGGCTCAAAATTTCGGTGGAGATATTCTTTGCATTGATTGGTCGCGACTTAATGACATTAGGCTTTTTATTTAACATTTTTGACCCCTTCCCCCTCCCTCTTCTCTATTGTAACAAACTGAACAAAAGTTTGTTTTAAAAAAATTTCATGTTCGTATTTGAGAGACACATTTTTAGGAAATAATCTAAAAAAAAAAGTTGTAGCAATTTTAGAAGGAAAAGAAACTTGGACATTCTTAGTACTTATGCCCCTTTTTAAAAAATGTGTAAATATAAAAAGTTATGTTTTGCTTTGAAAATTAGAAATACTAATATTTTAAGAATGCTTTTTGAAATCTCACTTTCAAGTCATTGAAAATTCAAATGTACTGCATAGAGCAGGTTCGGCTATGGCTTGTCTTCTCTTGCCTATATAGTAAGAAAATATTTCAAAAATCGAATTCAAAATACTTCTTCTCTTACTTCCTTAAGCTACATTTTATGTATCCAGTTTTACCAACCCACGTGAGCACCCAGACAGCTGTTATTTACTCCTCCTATGTTGCTTAGAAACCACATAGGAGATCGAAATTTCGACCGACGGAAAAATACTTATTTGTGCAAATTTTCAAGTAATAAAAAATTGTCTTGACGAAAAATTTCTGCGTTATCAAAATCCCCACTAAACCTTTAAAAAATAAAGTTCATCATCCTCTAAACCTATACTTTGCGAAGCTTTCCGTCAGAAAAGAAGGTCTAAAGTCTGTTTCAATAAAAAGCTCAAATTGAAAGGTTTTTCTAAAAAGCATTTACGAGAAAAATTTTCTCATACTGCTCCAAAAATGTCTCGAGGGCGCAAAACGAGCACCGCAAAAACTTCGAGGAACAAACCCGTCAAAATAAAAGCCTCAAAAAGGTCGAAGCAGAGTACTCGCAAAAGAGATCCAGAATCAGCACAAAATGTCAGCAAGATGCAAAGTTCAAAAAATAAACCCAAACCAAAAGTTGCTCAGAGGAAACCTACTCAAAATCTGAAACAGCTGTCTCCTAAGAGAGCGTCGAAAATGACCCATGGTCAGGAATCTATGACAACCCCAAAAGCCCTGGTAAAGCCAAAGCAACTGTCACAAGGACCCTCGAAAGCATTTCAAAAACTATTCGGAAACAATATCGCGCTGCTAACCTCCAAGGCCACACACAGGTTCGATTTCAATTCAATTTTATCGGCGTAAACATTTTCCCTTCTTCATTTGTTCCAAGAGACTAAAATTTACGATTGCTTTTGAACTTTACATTGCATCAAATTAAAACGCAAAAAACCAATAATTCCGTCACGAAAGTATTACGAGGTAATGCGCACTAAGTTACCCTGTAGCGAGCTCTGTGCCTCTTTTCATGTCTTTAAAAGTAAAGACAATAAAGCAACAATGGACAACGAATGACATTTTACCAAAAGTAACAAATACAGTTGCCAGCAAACATCATTTTGCGAGATTTTAATTGAATTGATTATTTAACTCATTACGTATGAAAAAGTGAAAGGAGATAATGTTAAAACACATTTGAAGAATCATGTTTCCCTTTTTCAATTTTAGAGGGCAATACGTATATGACATCGGGCTAATTTTCGGATTTATCATTCCTCCCTCTTTTCATAGCTGGTTTTTATCTACACCTTTAATCTCTCTTTAAATGGATTTGCCATTAGTCTTAGACTTGCCATTTTCCCAAGTTCGATGTCGTCTATGGCCGACTGAACTTCTTTTGTACCTCGAACTGATTCGTAACTATTTTCATGCTAAGTAAACGTTGTTTAAGGTTGTAGTATTAATTTGTCGTATGATTTTTTTTTTCACCAAGGTTGTATCCATTTTCACAGAAGATGAACCTAATGACAGCCCAAAGGATGCTTGCAGGTGTAAATACCTCTCTAACCTCGAGAGCCTTAAGGTCAAAATCGACGGGAGAGCCGAGGGTAATACCACCGCTTTCGAACCTCCCTCAAGCTGTCGCCTCCCAGCAGGTATTCTACCACGCAGTGCTGAGGAGCGTTGCAGGTTGTAGCGAATCAGGGGCTACTCGTGAAGAAGTATCCCGCACCGTGAGCTCCATGTTAGGTGTGTGTCCGGTTGTGATGGAACCCATCGTCGGAGCAGCGTTGAGCCACGCCGCGGTAGGTAAATTGATCGAGAGCAACCATGGTAGATTCGTGCCTAAATACCCGGAGCAATTGCGGGCACTCCCTATTGCTGAAAATAGTATACCCGCGCCGGGAGAGGTATGCACTCTGGACGACATCATGGATCGAACGGATGACTGGTTGCATATCTTCAAAGAGTGTGCGTTGCTCACGAGGAACGAGGTGACTTGTTTTTGAAAATTTTGATTGGTGATGTAGTGATTTAATTTGAGATTCGTCAAAGTATCTTCAGATTATGGCGTATGCGCAAGAGGAACTTCCAAAATATTTCAAAGCAGGCGATGACTGACCAACACAAGATACTATGGCAGCTTTAATGGAGAAGGAGCTTAATATTTTTTTCATCTTGTTTCATGAAGATTTATTATTAAATATTTTTCTTTTCTACTCTCCCTCTCCCTTCCTCTATCCACTCTTCTCCACGGATTCGGCCTGTAACCACATGAATATCGTGAATAATGGAATGATACAACAATTCAAGCTTCCGTGTGTTGCGTGGTATCATTCTCAATTGAAGGCGTTTTTTTCTTTCCTTGAGTCGGGCTTTCCTTCTGATCTCACTCCCCATTTCTTCTCTCCCCTTCTCTGCCTCTCCTCCTTCCCCTTCCTTCCTTTCTTTTTTCCTTTCCCTCCCCCCTTCTTTCCTTTCTCTCTCTACCCCTGTACATTCTAGCGCAAATTAAAATAAGGGACCAGATGATTTTTGTGTGTGTTCTCACGCAAGAGTAATTAAAATTCATTTAAAAGTATGGTAGGCTATAGGCACGTAAATATAATTGGATCGCATTCGTCACTTAAAATATTACTGAAGAAAAACGTCTCTTCTTAGTTCAAAGTTTGTCTATTGAAACTAACTTTGTTCTTGATATATTATTGATCATAGAGGTCATTGTCTCCGATTATGAAGGTTTTAAACTTATTGTTTCCCTCTATTTTTTACATGTACATAGCAACTGATTTGTAAAATTTTACGGATAAGACATGACAAGAATTGATTATGCATTTTCTCTTGAAGCCTACATTTTAACAATTCAGATTATATTTTGCATGTGCAAATATATCACCGAAGTCACTCAACTTAAATTTTCATGATTAAAGGCTTTCATCAATATCTCGGAAAAATATAAATTATTCTGCGTGCCCCTGCTTTGAAATCCAGCCTCCTCATTTTAAAATAATCTTCGCAGCCTTTGCACCAGTATTTCTATCCGGTTAGTGGGGTTCAATCTCTAAGTAATCGCAAATAATGCAAAACTTTTTTGAAAAAAGAACTTAACCAACACGAGTTAAAAAAGAGGCAAGAGGGGAACTCGTGATGAAAGAAAACTCAATTGAACAGTCAGCAAAAGATGCAACTCAGCTGTTGTCGGATTTAAGCAGCTAGTTCAAACGTCTATAAACAGAAAAAATGTATTTATGACATTTCATGGTGATACGTTATCACAAGAATCCTCTTTTTGTTTGTATGGTGTTTTTCTTTCAAAATCCTACTTGTGGGTGGATCTGTTTTGCTTAGTAGCGTTCAACTAAACTATAAATGCAACTGAAAGTAAACAATTACAAGGATACAGCCAAAAAAATGTTCAACTCTATAGAAAAATCAATGGGAGCTATCGATGGCTAAAGTGCGACACTGCGGATTTCCATTGCGATCTTTCAAAATGTCCGCTTCTACTTTATTTTTCGGGGAAAAACAAGCCAACTCTATGGCTTAAAATTTTTACCGAATATTTTGCAGACTGAGAAAAAAATCAAGGAAGTTTTCAAAAAAATTACGTTTACTACTTTTTCTCTCAAAGAAAAAGTAAAGTAAGGCAGGACGTCTGCAACGTCGCTAACGGAGGTACGTGGTTTCGCACTTAAGCCATCGATTTGTTGCATCCGAAACGAGTAAAAAGAAAGTTGATGCTGGACTACCGAACTCCATGGTTTTTCATAAAAGTATCTTACATACTGCAGAGATTAAAGTAATGCGGAGCCGGGGTCTCCAAAATCAGAGACGCGGCGTGCTTGGCGATATATCGATTTATCTGCCATTTAAACCTATAGAATAGGATCAATAGACACGGTGTTCACGACGAACACCTTAGTAATTGATCCTTTTCCATAGCTTTAAATGGGAAAATATCGATTCCTCACTGTCCATAATATGGATTTTCCAGCCGTAACCGCCCGACCATTTTCCATTTGGACGTATTTCTGCCAAACGGAACTATGTGCATTAATGCCATAAGATTACATGCATAACAAGGCTCACGTCATAATGCACACACTGGAAAAAAACACATCGGATTTAGAGTCCAGACTCTTAAAAACATCGACAAGAAAAAGTACTCTTGATTCAATCAGAATCTAGCTTCAATCAAGAACCAAGCCTCCTAACTTAAGCGGATTTCGTTTTGATTCAAGCAAAACTCCGATTGAATCAAGAGTATTTTTTCTTGTCAATGTTTTCAAGAGTCTGGACTCTAGATCCAATGTGTTTTTTTTTCCCCCAGTGTTCGCCGCTTTCCGGCCAAAGCATTACAAGCGCCATGCGACGTTCAATAATTTCCACCGCTATTTTATTGTTATACAGAGAAATTGTTCAACGAAGCTGTCCGAAAATTTCACGACATTTTCTTTGTGCTGCCGATTTATTTAGAGAAATTTTCAAACAAATTCAACCAACAATTGCTCTGTAAATGAAAAAATGACGGCGGAAATTTTGAAACGTCGCATGGCGCTTGTGAGACTTCGGCTGGAAGGTTACGATTTTACGAGACCTCAAAAGTTCGGTGGAGCAATTTTTTCTATTGGTTGAATCTTAATGATGTTAGGCTTATTTTAATATGTTGTAACACACTAAAAACAGTTTTTTCTAAAAAAAATTTCATGTCCGTATTTGAGAAACACATTTTTAAGAGCCCTGTGACCCATAAGAATACATGCATAACAAGGCTCACGTCATAATGCACATATTTCCGTTTGGCAGAAATACGTCCATTTACACCCCCTTCATTCAACCCTTAGTGCGACGAGAAGGAATTCCCTTTTTCCGCGGACGAGCGTTCTTTCCTCGCCGCGGCCGAAACTCGGCGAAATTCCTGATCGTTCGGGCGTCGGGAGGGGCAACAGCGGAGCCGAAGAGCAAAAGCTCGGAGCCCGGGTCCCGGGTAAGAACGTGCATATGATCTTAAAGTTTAATTGAGTCTTGGCTCCGGGGCTCCTCGGGGAGGCGGCGAGAGAGCGGAGCGGTCCGAGATTGCTCACGGGGGAGAACTCCCCGGGGGCGCTCAACTTGGTGATCAAACAAATTATAAAACATAGCTCCCTCTCTCTCGCTCCCCCCTCCCCCGCCCCCGCCCCCGGGCCCGCCGGGGTCTTTGAGACTCCACCGCGTCGCGTCGCGTCCCGTCGCAACGTTAGCGCGGGCGCTAGTTATAATAACTTTATCATCGTCGTGTTAACATCACCTTATTTGACTGCGGGAAGCGCCGCACACTGGGTCAAGCCAGTCGGAGAAAATCTGGAAACTTTGAAAGCTTATTTTTTCGAAAAAATAGAACAAAAAAGTTCAAGAGTGTTTTATTTGGTTTTTCGTGAAATTTCCTGTCAGAAACACCCCTTGAAATTGAATTTGCGACTGCGTATGCGTCAAAATGGGCCTGTTGCATGCAAGAGATACAGCCGCGCGAATAGACTTTATAGAGGTTAAATGACACGAAAATTACGATGGTCACGTTAAAAAAGTCTGAAATACACTCCTTACTGCGCAATTTGCGTTGTTAGGAACGCGCTTTTTCAAATTTCCCGCGTCTGGGGGCAGTTTTCTAATCACCGGAAACGAGCAAACGGCGGGCTCGGTGATTTCCGGAAGATGCCGAGTGGTTGTTGTTGTTATTTTTTCCTTCAGTTTGTTCACAAACCCAACGTGATCTCTTATAGTGGTCCATATACGCTTTATGCGGTCACCAAATCGATCAACTTTTAAATATCCAACGCAATCCTTCTACATTTCATTTCACAATATCACGAGCTCCGATTTTTAGGTTATGTTGTCAGTTTTAGTTGACCGAAAATAGCCGCGAGTTGCCGTTAATTGTTTCCGTAAGAAAACTGCCCCCCGACGCGGGAAATTTGAAAAAGCGCGTTCCTAACAACGCAAATTGCGCAGTAAGGAGTGTATTTCAGACTTTTTTAATGTGACCATCGTAATTTTCATGTCATTTAACCTCTAAAAAGTCTATTCGCACGGCTGTATCTCTTGCATGCAACAGGCCCATTTGAAATTTTAGCTGAAAAATTCATGCCCGATCTCTTCTATTAGCTCGTTCCACAATGTGCCACACGGCGGACACGAAATCCCAGTCCTCTAGGTCATGCAACCTTTCTGGAACATGAATTGGACTGCATTTTTGCGATTAGGAAGTTCAATATGTAGCCCGTCCGTAAAAACACTCATGTGCTTAGGGAAACTAATGGTGTACACGTCGTTTCTTTACTGAGCTAGTTATTGTAGTTCCGAATTGAAGCGGTGGGTGCAGAAAGGACATTTCTTGGTTGCGGTGTCTCAAAATCACCCTTGACGTTTCATTTATAATGCATGACTAAAGCAAATGGATGCAATTAATTAAATGTAAACGCCGCACTGTGGACACGGTATTCGAGTCTCCTAGGTCGTGAAAGCTTTCTGGACATGAATTGGACTGCATTTTGCGATTGGAAACCATAATTTCTAGCCCATCCGTATAAAAACACTCTTGTGCGCAAGGAAACGAATGGTGCATACGTAGAAATTGAACCAGTTATTCCAGCATATATGCTACTGGCTTCTTTATGCGGAAAGGTGCTTTTAACGAAGGCCAGAGATAGTGGTTCCTTAGCGGAAAATGTAATCCCGTTGATAGTGGGCGAAAAAACTAAGCGTTTGGACTAATGGACCACTAGAGAAGGTACGAATTTAAGCATTTTGATACATGTATCTTAACCAAAATTTCACGTAGAACACGATTCGCGCAACGAAAATTACTGATACCAATTCCTAACGAAGCTATTAACATTTTTATTTCACATTGGTTACGAGGAATTTGAACTGCCCGCTCTCAAGAAACTCAAAGCTCTACGTGCGTCAAATCGCGCACTACAACGGTTTCAGCAATCTTCTCAATCGAGCAATGTTCATTTCCCACCATGTGTTTTTCAAACTATACGTGATTTGCTGCTGCTCAGCCAAAGCAGTGTCAAGTTTGAGGTTGCCCGATGTTTTCATCGCAGAGATGTTCATGATAACGTTTGCGAGCGATGTGAATGACGTAGAGCATTGAGTTTTCATGAGCGGGTGGTTTGAATTCACGCACCAAGAATCGTTAATATCTTTGGAAGGAGTTGATTTTGGTAATATTCGTTGTGCGCATCGTGTTCTACGTGAAATTTTTGTGAAGAAACATGTATCAGAATGCTGAAATTCGTACCTTGTCTAGTGGTCCATTCTCACTGTTTTTGCAAATCTACAAGTTTAAACCATATGGAAATGTGACCCGGTGAGCGCAAACTGACCCATACTTACAACGATAACAATTAAAAATACCCATTTTCTTGTCAAATGACAGCCTAAGATGCCCTCCTCTACTCGAATTGAGCAGAGTATTAAACCAGTGAATCAATTAGCCCCTTCTCCAGACATCGGAAGGTGTCGATACAGTTCAGCTTGAACCGTTTGGTGCACGCATTTTGGTGGTTTTGAGAAGAGCAGAGTCATGGCACGCGCGGAGTGGAGGTTGCCAAATGTCGGAAAAGTACACTAATTTCACAACACTTTTTACGTTTAAGTTAATTGTAAATC